CAGCAGGAAATTTTTGTTAAGAAATCACACTAAATATCAGGGTATCAGCCCCTTTCTCTCGTTCCTGTATACTCTTTCCAGCTGATCAAGATTGATGCTTCATTTTTGTTGTTTTAACATGCAGATTTATTTCAGGTAAGTGGTAGCAAGGTTCTCTTGTAGTTTGCTTTCCTTTTAGGCTGTGTAGTTATCTACATGTCTTCGTTTCTCCTCCTTGATGCTTCATTTCTGTATTCATACATGCATGCATGCATACATGCATGCAAGTCTTTCCCTTTTTTCCTATGACAATGCAGCATCTTCTTCCACTGGGGACCAGCTAACCTGCATTCAGATCCCAATCAGTGAATAGCCTTGACCCTTGCTGTGCTTTCATCTTTAGAGGCTTTTCTCTCAGAAGTCTTTTTTAATTTTTTGCCAGCCAAGTGACCATGCAGCTCCCACAGGGCTGGATGCTCAAAACCCAGCCAGTACCATGACTCAACAGCACCCTTCCCCTGAGGATTTCTGTGCTTCAGTGTAGACGCATAGCTCTCTGGCCACCACATGTTCTTATTACGGACCCCAGGTAACTCTGAGCTCAGACCTTCAGGTAGACTCAAGTGGGAAATTTTCCCTGCTGTTAATAAGGCTTCTTAGATACTGCATTTAGGATCTCATATTCACAAAAAGTAAAAGAAATGGTCTCCAGAGATTTCAATGGCTCCGTGAGTACCAAAACAAACCCCGGCTTCTTTGATAGATAATCTCAGCAACTAGGAAACCTAAAAATGATTGGCATACTCATTCTGAAATGCCACAATGTCTGCTCCCCTCGCACAAATGAGATTCCATTCCAGTCAGCTACTGCATATTTATGCTCAGCCTTTCATTAACTTATTGATCATGTGATGATACACTGTCCTTTGCTACATTTGGGGAAATAAAAAAAATGGGGAAAAAACATGCTCTAATGGTGGGGCTATTTCATGCTTCCTGAATATTCAGTCCAATCCTCCTGGTCTCTTTCTGTCCTCCTTTCTCCCCAAAAGCTTCATGGATCTCCAAAGACATCCCACAAGAGAGGGTGACGACCATTCCCCAGTAAGCCCTTGAGGCTGCCATTATGTGACATGTAATTATACAGCTAAATCAGGGTCAAGCATCTCCCTTTAAGGGTAAAATATGGTATTACACTCTAAATTCCTGTACTGCAAAAACAAACAGTGCCATCAATTCATTTCCAGTCAGACCTCCACCCCCTTGGGAAAAGTATACAGAACTTTCTGGTGGGAAAAATAGTTTGGAAATACAACCTCTTTATTAGAGTGAAAGCTCTTCCTTCATGCAGCTTGTCTTTCATTAGCCACCCTGCTACACTCCAGTGAGGAATGTGGCTTGAAGAGGTACTTTGAGGTTGCAGGAGACAAGTCTCCAAGGGGTGTAGTTCACTCTCGATACGTACTTATAACTCCTGACAAGATTATGAGGTCTGATCCAAAACTAAGTAACCACATGGTCATTCGTAGGTAAATGCCTCTAAGAGGGTGGCTTTTTAAGGAAGGATTCCATTACCTTGCACACAAACGAAGCATCTATGTTCTCTGTTTTCTCTGAGCTCTCTTACTGTGAATAATATCTTCCTATTTTTCACACTTCTGTTTGAAATACAGAGGGAGCAGGTGAGGAGGAAAGGAAGGTTTTTAAATCAATGTGTTTCCTTAATTCAACACTGGCATATTGGATGTGGGGTTGAGTAAAACTGCATTCATATCCATGGTTCCTCTCTATCACTCATCTAAGAGGTACAGGAGGAAAAGAAGAGCTCTCTGAGTCCACCTTACAGCCACACAATAACATACCATGGTAATGCTCTTTCTGTGATCCCAGAGCAGACCAGCCCATGACTTTCAAGCAAGGAGCTGGCTGATGAGACTCAGCAGAGCATTCCGGGAGAAAGAGCTCACAGTGTAAATCTGGAGCAACTCAACAGAAGTTAGCAGAGTGACTCCAGATATGCTGTGGTGTCACGAAGGTCCAAAGTAGCTATTTGTGATAGCAATGAAAAAGGGACCTTTTCTTTCCGGGCCTGAGTCTCTCCTGAGATGTGCGAACTGTGTCAGTGCAGTGTCATTGCTTCCAGTGAGGTTACATTACTGCAACTGGGAGCAAAATTTAATTCACTGGCTTCAGTGGTCATCTGAGGACAGGATTTGATGCTGTTTGTCACCTGGGTTTTGTACCAACAGCAAATGCTGGTTTACCAGCAGCAATTGCTATTGGGCTCTATGTCTGGAGTTGCTCAGTAAAATGAAATTGTGAAATTGTGAATTTGGTTACACCAAAAACATTCTTGCAGTATGATGCCAATCATAGTAAACATAACCACCTATCCATCACTGCAGATTTAAAAATAGATAGTCATCATTTTCATGGGCAAAACCTGAACAACATGTTTTGGATCTTCACCCAGCTCCCCAAAAGCAA